CATTTTGGTGAGTGGCCTTGCCAACTGGGGATAATGGGAGATGTAGCCCAACTCATCTGAGGGAGGACACCAAGCTGGGTAATGACCACTGTGGTGGTTTTAGACATTATCTGGCCTCTTTGAGGGTGTATCAAAGTTCAGTGTTATGTTGGCACTGCAATTCCTCCTTAACTCAATGCAGATATCTGGGCGGATTGAGAGGATATTATTGTATACTGAATATTATATACAGAGATTGTTGTATATAGGGTTTCATTTGCATCAGAAGTTATTTTGCTTGGTCTTCAGAGAGCTTTCTGAATAGAGAGCAACAGGTCTTGGTATAGACTTTGCTAACAGTGCAAACAAACAAGAAAGAAAGAAAAAACCCAATAACAATGGAGACACGAATACATTCCACAGCAAAAATATTGGCAGACAACGATTTGGAGTAGAATGTCTGTGCCCCCAAATTTAGATAAGTGACAGGGAGAAATCCTGGAGAATCTTATGCAGATGTTCATTTTGTTGCCAGAACCTGCACAGGATTGTCTTGTTTCCTCTCTTTGGAGCAGTTGGTGACATGAAGTGGGGAATCAGAAATCAGTAATCTACCCCTACCCCATGATTCACTTTTCTGCTTAACCCCAGTTCTTCAAAACGAAGGTACACCTCGAACCCAGCAACATTGTGCAGAAGTGGGATGGATGGGCTGGACTCAGCAGAGAGAATGGTGCATACTTTTCATAATATAGTGGGCCCTTGGTATCTGCTGGGGCTTGGTTCCAGGATCCCTTGTGGATACCAAAATCTACAGAATGCTCAAGTCCCATGAAATACAATGACATAGTAAAATGGTGTCCCTTATATAAAATGGCAAAAATTAAGCTTTGCTTTTTGGAATGTATATATTTCTTAATGTTCCCAAGCCATGGATGGTTGAATCAGTGGATAAAGAATCTGTAGATATGGGGCGATGAGTGTCTAGATCTGCCCTAGCACAGGTGAAGACAGAAATGAAGAAGAAGGTGTGCCTCTGTTTGACAGCCAGCCAACCAGTAATCCTTCCACAGCCACAGTAATGGTTCCTGATCCGGTATTGCAGCTGCTCTCCTCGCTTGCCAAGAGACCAGGTGCCTTTGCAGGAACTCCTTGGCATGCCAAGCCAGCCAGCCATTAGCCAAGTGCATCTCATGTATTTCCCCAGTGCTGACAGCTCAGGGGAAATGAAAGGAAGAGAGGCGCATCCTTGTGGATCTCCTCATTATTAAATTCCCATTTCCCTTGGTAGGTCTCATCACAGTGCAAGATGAGAGTGGCGGTGGAGGAGGAAGAGTAGGAAAGGTGCCACTTCAACACTTGGATCATGAAGCGGAAAACTTTTGCCAAGTTGTTGCAGTGGAAATGTTCCAAAACTGTAGCCCTGTTGCTGTGTTCTTTAAGATCTGCCTGTCTGTTGGTCCTGCTGTCACACCTTAGGAGTTGGCAGATTTACGTTGCCATATGTTCTTCTAGCCTGGGATTTGGCAAAGTGGGCTGCAGCCATGAAAGCTTGCTTGAGAATGAGTTAGTGTTTGAAATGTGAACCAGCGCTTTTGGTCGCATTTGTTGTCCGGGCAGAAGTCAATCCATCGCCTTGTTAAGGAATCTAGTCATTTCTTCACATATACATGACTAGAAGACACCAGTGGGCTTCTCCAACACATGTGTGGAACATGTTGTTCGAGTTGAGGTTGGGTTTTCAAATTGGATGGGTCACTAATTGGGGGGGAAAAACGGAAGTGCAGGCCCAACATTGCAGAAGCGAGCTTCCACCTTGGTCCGTGAAGTGGAGTGGTTGTTGCGTGTCTTTGCTGGGCATTGTGTTTATGTTTCCATCGGAAATATTCCATGTTCATGGTACATCTTCCTCCTCTCTCTCTAATGTGACTTTCCAGTCTTGGCAGTGCTACTGCTCCAGACGTCAGGTTTGCAGCAGGATTTTGGGCACCCCCCCCCAAAAAAGAGGCTCTGTTCCTCAGGGCATAAAGTCCCATGCCATGCACATTGCTGCACCATGACCAGGATCCGAAGAAGCTGGAGAAGGTTTTCTCATAGATTGAAAGCCTGAGAGATCTCACAGGGTCAACCAGTCAAGAAGCCAACAGACACATGCTGAACTCCTTCTCTTTCTATTTCTCCAGCCTCCTTCTTGTGCATATGCCAACATGCCACCACCCCACA